ACCTTCCCTGATCAACAGTCCCTTTATTTGTCTTTTTCACAGCACTATTAAAGTCCCCCAAATTGTGACATGGACCCCAATGACACCAAAACAAAACCTGAAAAAGTAGTCATCTGTGTTTCTAGCACTTATTTTATTTTATGTCAATTCCCACTATCATAATTTTTGGTACTTCACAAATGTTCCAAATACATTTGCAATGTAGCTTCATTTGAAACAATGTTTTGCCTTTCTCAGATTTGTGTGTCCTTGAAGATTTGTCTCTGTTTTCCTAAAGCAATTAGCCAAAATAATCATTGGCTAATTAACATTCATCTTTAAAATGATGGCCCAGTACAGAGTGAGTCTGGAAACAAAAAGTTTTCTAGTAAATGATCAAAAAAGTCACTGAGATTCCTCCTATAATTTTAAGAAGTTCACTATCTAAAGAAGGAAGAAATATCAGATGCAAAGAATGTGTGTATCTATATATATACATGTAAAATTAAGTATAATGTGTGATAAATCCAAATAGTACAATATTTATTAATCCTTCCAACAAATGTTAATTGAGCACCTAAACGGACATAATTCTGTCTATTGAGCATCGTAATGAATAAAACACAAAATCCATGCTTTCATGAATTTTACATTCTATTTGAGAGAGACAGAAAGTAATCATAGTTAACAAGTAAGTCATAGAACATGTTAAAAACATAGTAGTGTTAGGGAGAAAACGTGCAATATAAGTAATAGGACAGTCTACAACTCTCAAGTAGTTTGGATAGAGGAAGACCTCAATTTAAAAATAACATTTAATAAAGATTTTTAAAATTATTATTTGATAAAGAATTTGAAAAAGGTAGGGACACAAGCTATGGAGGAGAAATCACCAGTGCAAACTCATGAAGACAAGAAGAAAGAGCAAAGAGTCAGTGACTGAAGCACAGTCAATAAATGGGAGAAGAGATCAAAGGGCTTTGCAGAGGCTTTAAAGATATTATAAGAATTTTGCCTTTGACTCTGAGTTAAGATGAGGGAAGAGTAGAGTTTAGAACCAGGAAACAACCAAAGTGAAATTTGTTTTGAAAATATTTTGTAGACCTCAGTGCTGACAGGGGAGTGTAAGTGGGGAAGGTGACAACAGAGAGACCAAGTAGAAAGTTAATTGCTCCTAGTAATTGAGAGTTTGGAGGTTTAGTGCAGAATAATGGTAATGGTGAGAAGTGGTGGAATCCTGTGTATGTTTAAAAAATGAAATGAATTCAACTTCTTGAGTGTGGGATTTACAAGAAAAAGGAGGGTCCAGAAAGATCGCAAAGTCTTGACCTTGGGCGTAACGTTGTAGTAAAATGGAAAAGACAGCCCTTGCAACTAGATGCTACTGCCTTATACTATTTACAACCTGCAGGATAACTCGGTAACCAAGGCGAAGCTCTGAACCGCTTTCCGTGAGCCAATTCCGTGAGCACTCTTTCAAAGCAGTGGGAGAGTCCCAGCAGCTGGAGAGATGACACAAGGAGACCAACGGTTCACTTTATTTCAAACTCAGTAACAGGCTTCACTTCCGGCAGATCTAAGTCAAGAAGATTCCTTTGTGGCTACCAGGGAGACTGCCCAGGTGTTGCAGTGCTGCATATGGGTGCACCCCAGGCTCAAGTTCCTGGGACAAGGGAGCTGCAGCTTTTGGTTAGCGGGTGTCTGGCAACAGATGGCCAGTAGGGGGCGGGGTAATAGCTGGTGAAGGCATAATGAAGGGATTACATATAGATACTTGGGTAAATGTATTTGTCACTGAACCGAGATATTCCTAATTCTCAATCGTAAATCTTAGGGGATTTTTACATTTTTTATTTTAGACTATTTTAGACATCTAATTACTCATAATTTATATGTTTAAGTCTACCAATAAATTTCTGGAACTTCTGCATTTGTGTGATAGTATCTACTTGACATATAGACAGAAACCTTAGCATAAAAGCATTAATTTATCTTTCCATAAACTTTCTTTGATATTTTGTTGAAAATAAAACCAATGAGAATTGATTGACTTAATCACCATTTCTAATGACCAAAGGTTATAAATCAATTTATTTCACTTATCTGAATATTTAAAACATGAAAAACAATGACAATAATTTTTCTTCTGTGTTTAAAAAATTAATTACAGTAGAAGTTAGGTATTTTTTTTATAAATTCTGAGTGTTTTTATAACTATTTCACAATTTTTTCCATTTTCTCTAAGAATTATTAACATATATAAAATTTATCCACAATTTTTTATTACATCTCTAGGGTCTAGAACACCCTTTGATTTTTATAATAGGTGCTCGGAATATTTGATGAATGAAGGAATAAATGGATGAATAAATGAAAGGCCCACAGTGTTCTGATATAATCAATGACACAATACTGAGAGACATTTTCCACATTTCCAATATTAAAAAAATTGGACATAGAATAATCTGTGTATTGGGCATTCTTTGGGAAAGCATCATACAAGGGAGATTACTGAGAGAGTTTGAACAATGAGAATCATTGTAGGGACACTTTCTATTTTCAGGATCTCTAAGAACCTTAACATATGACCTTCATTATAAAAAATAATAGGATATCTGTAACTAAGGACTGCTTCAGAACTCAGAAAAAAATTATTTCTATACAACATAGTTCCTCTATTGCCAAAGAAACTTGCTAATCAGTCTCCTTCAGGATAATTTTTGGAGACCTGATTTGATGATACTAGAGAAGACTGTCATCATAATTTTTAAATTTATTTAAAGTGAGTAATGAAATAAGTGATAGGGCAAGTTAATATCAGTTTGAAATTATCTGAATGAGAATAATTAAAAATATTCAAATAAGAATTCCAATTACTGATATGCAATATTAATAAAAATAGCTAACACTGGAAATTTTTAAACTAATTTTCAATCAAATGAATATTATATTTTGAATCATAATTAATGTGAAATATTCATAAGATATACGTTCTTTTAACTTTCCACTTTTTGTTGATTTTATTTGAATGGATTATCCTAGGGTATTGAGGGTTTTCTCTCCCTTCACTTCATTTCTCCCCCCACCCCTTTAAACTCCGTCCTTTTAACAGTCAGCCTTCTAGTTGTATGAATGGGTTCTTGGAATATAAGAAGTCAAACAAGTCAAGTTTTACTATAATTTGATTTGACAGTCCTTCTAATGTGACTAATTTTAACTAGACCACATGCCTTGTTTTTCTTTTATAAATATATTACTATGCAAACTAAAATGTCTGTAGTCAGAGGAATGTATGCCTTTTCACCCTGTAAGGTGGGGGGCAAAAACACATCATTCAAGAAGACTGAAAAAAATAATTTTGCATTAAGGATATATCAATATTGTACTCTCCCTCCAAAAGCATAGCATTTTCACTACTTGGAAAGTACAAATCTTTGGTATTGTTTATGATATACTCAGCAGGGAATGTGACTTCCTAGTGCAGGCCCAACAGAGTGCTCCATTTATAAATAAATCATATTTGGAGCTTGAGAAACAAGAGATCAGTTGGTGGCACTTGGCCTCTGTGAATCTCAGGAACTCCAGATAATTAACTACCAGTATTTTTTTTCCTCCTCTATTGAATCATTCATTGACAGAAAAACAGACTTAATTACAAATAAATATGTAATGCATTTTTGAAAATTTGACATAATCACATTGCTACATCTTAATGGCATATTCAGCATTATTACTGTCATTACTAGGCATTTTCAAAGTCACCATGGGAGGTAAGTATATTTTCCATTAAAGGATTATTTCAGTCTGAAATCTGTCTAAACTATTATTACCTATAACCCTCAGTAGCACAAAAATGTCATACAAAAATAAGAAAATGTTATATTCTTTCAGTTATTACTTAAGTGAGGAGAAAAAATGAAATTACTATATTGTTGATGTTTCGGGATAATTAGCATAAAGATGGCCATGTTTTAAATTGGCTTACAGGATAAATTTTAAGTGGTCTATATATGACTATTACTTTTAATATGGCAATTATTTCACAAGTCAGAACATAACAAAAATTCACTGGAGAAATAATTCTACCTAGATTTTGTTAATTTGGCGAGAGGTCTCCATAGTAATTATAATGATTTTGTGTCCTCACCTGCATTCATTGTCATTTTGTTCCAAGATAGTGAGTCCACAAAGAAACGTTTTCTTTCTAGGGATGGGACAGCTGGGTGGCTCAGTCAGTTAATCGTCCGCCTTTGGCTTAGGTAGTGATCTCAGGGTCCTGGGATTGAGTCCCACTTCAGGTTCCTTGCTCACTGAGGAACTTGCTTCTCCCTCTGTCTGCTGTTTCCCTTGTTCATGCCGTCTTTCTCCCTCTCTCTCTGACAAACAAATAAATTAAAAAAAAAAAATTTTTTTTCTTCCTAGGGAAAAAAATGAAGCTGGAGCCAAGGTAGTTGTAAAAACTTGTTTATTTTTTTTAAAAATAAATACAAAAATATAAATATAAAACATTAGCAGATAGAATTTGATGAAATGAAATTGCACAAACGTTTGTATACCAGGTTGCAAATCACACCTACTAACACCACATGTACTTTTTTTTTCTTTTTAATTTAATGTACAGAACAGGATATACCTTAAATTTTTTTCTTCACCTTTTTAAAAGCTTCATTGGCAAGGGCAGGACGTGTATCTAACAGAAGCGGCTTGTTCGTGAGGTTGCTTAAGGGAGAACTATCCTGTTCGTGTTTCTGAAATTATCTTTTATTTCTAAGATGGACAACACTGAATTTCCATAGCTTTGGCTCTTGGAAGTGATTAAATAAAATTTCGTATATATTCCATGAGACATCCTACAGGAAAAAAAAATTAATGTAATTAATGAACAAATTAAAAAGGAAATGGGAAAAAATTGTGCTGCGTGGCAGGAAAATTCTCCTGAATATCAAATATTGTGTAGTGGAGACGGCGTCTGTCAAGTTACTTCCTCCTGCTTGAGTAGAATAGATGCTGCAGATCCTCGGTTACGAGTCTTTGTCACTTTCCCCGCCACCGTACATCTCCGCCAGCTTATTAAACCGAGGGCCCCACTCTCGGAGGTAATCGTAGTTCTGGTCTCCGTCCGTAGTACCGGATTCCAGGGAGCTCAGAGACTCTGCCACGGAATCGTTTCCTTCGTAGGCGTAGGTTGCGAGGGAGTCGTAGGGGGGCGCCGTGGGGTCGAGATCGTGCTCTTTGAGCCTTTCGTTAATGAAATCCCGGACGTCCGTGTTATCCGGCGCGGTGGGAGTCCTCCGAGGGATAAATAAAGTTTCCGGAATGATATCTCGCCGGAGCTTCTTGTCCTCGATCGCCGCGGGGTTCCGCAAGGTGCCGATATCAAAGGCCTGCGTGTCCTCCTCTCCGCCACCTTCGTCGTTATAGCTCACGATGTTGTCTCTGATGTCTTCTTTAGACAGGATCAGAGGCTCCTTTTTTCGCTGTCTTTTCAGGGCTGCAAACAGGACTACTATAACTTAAAAAAAAAAAAAAGAAAAAAGAAAAGAAAAGGAGATTCATTAGCGGGCCGTCTAAAACACTGCATAAATAACAAGCGGAAGTACTGGGGAGGAATTGAAGTGATTGAGGTTTTCGGGGACAGGCAAGGATTTCAGGCTAAGGTTGTACTTCCATCAGTGCTGGGGGGGGAAGGACAGAGGCAGCTGAGGGCTTAGCCAGGGTGAGTGGGGTATGCTAGCCGTGTTTCTAATGCATTTTTAAAGCCATCTGGGATATTTCTCAAAGGCAGCGAGATATTTTGTCTATTTTTCTAAGAACTGTTTGAAGTGAGTTCCTTATTGTACAGACATTATTTATACTTTGCATTGAATAGTGACATAAGGTGTTACATAAAAAATAGACACAAATGGAATTCAGCTTCAAGTAAAACAATTAAGGAGGACGAAAATATGCTCATATTTTGCACATCCTTGTATAATATTAAAAAAGGCAACATGCTTCACAAAATACAGTGTTGGTTTTGGTTAAATAGCTTTGCTGATGGATTTACACCACCGGTTTAGCCATCTCTGGGGTATTATGTAGAAATATATATCACACATGAGACCAAAAAGAAAGTTACCCAGTCACGTAATAGCAAAGAGTAAATTTCAATTTCTACACTAAATTACCTATAGAAAACATGTAGGAAATTAGCTAGGTATATCTCAAACAACAGGAGATCTACAAATAGAAATGTATATCATTCAGAAAGGGCATCTCTTGGACGCCTGGGTGGCTCAGTGGGTTAAACCTCTGCCTTCAGCTCAGGTCGTGATCTCAGGGTCCTGGGATTGAGCCCTCCATCAGGCTCTCTGCTCAGTGGGGAGCCTGATTCCCCCTCTCTCTCTGCCTGCCTCTCTGCCTACTTGTGATCTCTGTCTGTCAAATGAATAAATAAAATCTTTTTAAAAAAAGAAAAGAATGGCACATCCTTACTACTGATACCTAAGAAGGTATCACTAATAGCAACATAATGATTTTACTAATCATGATGATAATAGCATAAAAGATAGGAGAATATTAAATTCTCTCTGGCTGTATTAGTTTCCCACTCTCATTCACTATTTCCAAACATTCTGGACACGATCCTTGAAAAGAATAATTTTCAAGGAAACAGATCTGAATTCAATTAAATAAGAAAAGAGAGGGAAAATATTTTACAGGTATATGTATGATGAAATAGCTATATTTATTTAGCTTCTTTAGAAGAAACATTTAAAAGATATGGGATTTATTATTGTTATGAACTGAATGTGTCCTTTAAAAATTCATGTTAAAGCCCAGATCCCCAAAGTGATGGTATTTGGAAGTGGTGGAGTGCTTAGGGGGTAATTAAGTCAAAGCGTGGAGCTGTCATGAATGGATTAGGTGGTTTTATGAAAAGAAACAAGAGAGAGGATTGCTGTCTGTCCTATGGGGATATAGCATAGACAGCCACATCGAAACCAGGAAGTATGCCCCCACCAAATCTGGAATCCGCCAGTGCCTTGATTTTGGACTTTCCAGCCTCCAAAATTATGAGAAATACATTTCTGTGGTTAAAACCATCCAGTCTATGGTATGGTTACAGCGGACTGAACTAAGAGAATTACATTAGTATGGGGAGGGCTCTTAGCTTTTGTTTCCTTTTTTATTAACACAGGACAGTCAGACTACCTGCCTTCAAGCTTCTGTGAAAGGGCAAACAAGGGAAATTTTTAATGCAAAAAAAATTAATAATAATAATAAGGCTTTAAAAACTGGTAAGTATTCTTGACCTTCAAAGTGGTTAAAAAATAAATAGGCCACCAAGACAGAAAAAAAAATACATTTATTCTTCAAGTCTTTCAGAAAAATTTGCTTAAATTCATATATTCATGCACACACATAAACTCATAATGTAAAGATTTTAAACCTTAGATTGTTTATGGTCAGCCAAACGATCTTACCCAGTAAAAAATGTTCTAATCATGAAGTTAATGAAACTTACTAAGATTGGCTCCAAAACCCAAGTTCATTTTACTGCTTCTTAAAATGTCAGATACAATGTTTTTTGATTAGGGTCATAGGAATATACACCATAGTTTTAAGATAATGCAACTGGAGAATAAACTTAATCTGATTTTTCATTCAAAAGCAGTTAAAAAGCAATTTGCTCCAGGTTATAAAATCAAGTATTATTGTTTCAGGGAAAGGTGAACCAGGTAAAGGGCTATTTTAACATGATTTCAGTGGAAAAGCTCCATCCAGCCATCATACCAGTAAAAAGCTGGAAATAAACTTTACATTTCCTGAAAACCTAGCTATAACAGACAGCAAAGTACCTTGCCTTGGTTGAGCCACTCAGAAATTGTGTAACCTTGAAAAATGTTTTGGATAGCTCTAATTTTCAGTCTCGTGATTTAAGAACGGCAATAAATATCTGATCAGATAAACTATTTTAATATAAACAACACCCATCATTCATGTAGGTCTATCTTAGATGATGGAGTTAATGGGGGTGGAGTTATTTTCATCACAGAATCTCTTATCCACAAATACACGAACGCAAACAGTCCAGGAAATAATCACGTTTTCCATGAGGTCGCTTACCCAGCAGAATAATGATACAGAGGAGAATGGCGATGAGGGCGCCGGTGCTGAGGCCAGCGGGGAGGAGCAAGGCTTCGGCGCTGCAGGACTGCATGTTGCCTTGGCTGTCACAGGCGCACACGCGGATGGTCAGCGTGCCTGTGCTGCTCTGAATCGGGTAATCGTTGTCCGAGATCACCACAGGCAAGAGATACGTACTTATTTCGTGTCTATTGAATCCATTTTTTCTGGTTAAGATTCTGGCAGTATTATCTAAAATAAATTTTAACATATTACAGACGGCTTGGGATCGTCAATTTCTCTCATGCTGATCCCCGTGGTTTGATAAACAAAGAGATGTTTATGTAAAATATAAAATGAAGATCAGTTTTCCTGTAACATGCCTACAATGCAACATTTTAAAATACAGATAAGATAAATGAGGTAATTTGAGGAGTCTCAGACTATGTTTATTTATTTCATTTCCAAGTTTTCGGCAGATAAGGCTTTTAAGATGGTGAATTTTTATAAGTAAACATTTTATCAGGATAGCAAGGATAATGGCATACTGTTTTTCAGTTTTCAGAAAACACAAAAAAGCATACCAAGAAAAAAAAAATCACAGTGAATGTTTTCTATTTATATATGCATATACGTTTATACATACACACACGCACACAGAATACACACATTAACCCAATACTCATGAAGAAAAATATGAACGAGTAAATTTTACGGATAGTTGTGCTTTTAAAATCAATCACACACTCGAAATCCTTCAAGAGTCACAATATATGAACAATGGTGAACAAGTTTGTTTTTTTCTTTATTTCTTTTAAAGATTTTATTTATTATTTATTTATGTATTTTATTTATTTATTTATTTATTTATTTATTATGTATTTATTTATTTTAGACAGAGAGAAAGAGAGAGTGTGAAGGGGCGCAGGGAAAGCGAGAGACAGAATCCCAGGCAGACTCCACCCTGAGCACAGACCTGCTGCAGGGCTCGATCCCATGACCCCGAGATCCTGACCTGAGCCTAAATCAAGAGTGGGACGCTCATCCAAGACACCTAGGTGCCCCAGCCAGTTATTTAATGTTTCTGAACTTTTGATTTCTACTCATTAAAACGAATACAATCTATAACCCATCTGGCGACTGATGCGGACTATTAGATAAATGCACAGGCAGATGTAAGGATTTTAAAAACCCAAGCATCCTACTAACTAGTATATTGCTACAGATATTTTCTTTATCTGATAACATCCAGTATCCTTCAATGGAGGTTGTGCTTTTACTTTTTTATTTTTTTTGAGGTTGTGCTTTTTTTTTTTTTTTAAGATTTTATTTATTTATTTGACAGAGATCACAAGTAGGCAGAGAGGCAGGCAGAGAGAGAGGAGGTAGCAGGCTCCCTGCTGAGCAGAGAGCCCGATGCGGGGCTCGATCCCAGGACCCTGGGATCATGACCCGAGCTGAAGGCAGAGGCTTTAACCCACTGAGCCACCCAGGTGCCCCGAGGTTGTGCTTTTAACAAAAAAGATTTCACCTAACCTTCTATAATCAATATTTTTTAAAAAATCAATATGTACATGGATGATAATTTCCTATTCTGTTTGTCCAATGCACTTAGTCTTCTTTAGCCAATCCGGTAAGCCTGCTCAAAATGCTAATGTAGGGAAAGGAGTGAGTCAGCCAGTTGCTAAATCAAATATGACAGGGGAAAAAAAGGTGAAAATTTCTTGCAGGTAGAGTTGTTGAACATAAAGCAGTAATTTCCTAAATTATTAGTAAGAAGTCATTTCTACTACATCAGTTAACTATAAAGGCTAGGAAAGAAGATTACCAAAATATAAGACGTACATAAGCAAATTTAAAAAATAAATTTAATCCTGGCATTTTGCAAATTTGACTTATCTTCCAAAAAGTATTAGGGTATAATTCTTCCGTTCTCAAACCTACACTGAAATAAATATTTATATGCATATGGGTATATGTTTTTCCCATTTTCTTTAAGTTTTTGTTTAGATTTTAGTTAGCATACAATGTAATATTAACTTCAGGTGTAGAATTTAGTAATTTATCACTTCTACACAACACCTGGTACTCATCATAAGTGCACTCCTTAATCCCCATCCCCTACTGGACCTGTTCACCCACCCACCTTCCCTCTGATAACTATCAGATTGTTCTCAACAGTTAAGAGTTTATTTCTTGGTTTGCCCCTCTCTCTCTCTTTTTCCCTTTATACCTTTGTGTTGTTTTTTTTAATTCCACAACTGAGTGAAATCATGTGGTATTTGTCTTTCTCTGACTGACCTATTTAGCTTAGCATAATACTCTGAAGCTCCCCCCATGTCATATCAAATGCCAAGATTTCTTTTTTTTTTGGTGTCTATATATATATATATATATATATATATATATATATATATGGCACTTCCTCTTTATCTATTCATCAGTTGATGGACACTAGGACGGTTCCCATAATTTGGCTATTGTAGATAATGCCGCTATAAACACTGGGGTGCATATATCCCTTTGAATTAGTACTTTTGTGTTCTTTGGATAAGTAACTAGTAGTGCAATTACTATACCACAGGGTGCTTCTATTTTTAACTGTCTGAGAACCTCCATACTGTTTTCCAGGGTGGGTGCAGCAGTTTGCATTCCCACCAACAGTGCAAGAGGCTTCTCCTTTCTCCACATCCTTGTCAACACTCACTCATGATAACAACCCTCAACAAAGTAGGTTTAGAGGGACTATATCTCAATATCATGAAGGCCATACATGAGAAACCCACAACTAATATCATCCTCAATGGGGAAAAACTGAAATCTTTTTCTCCAAGGTCAAGAACAAGACAGGGATGTCACCTCTCACCACTGTTATTTAACAAAATACTGGAAGTCCAAGCCTCAGCAATCAGACAACCAAATGAAATAAAAGACATCAGAATCAGCAAGGAAGAATTAAAGTTCGCACTGTTTCCAGATGGCATGATACTCCATAAGGAAACCTAAAGACTCCACCCAAAAACCACTAGAACTGATAATGGAATTTATTGAAGTTGCAGGATACAAAATCAATGTAGAGAAATCTGTTGCATTTCTATATATCAATAATGAAAATTAAATTAAGGAATCAATCCTCAAAAACCAAAAGATACCTAGGAATAAACCTAATTAAAGGATGAAAGATCTGTACTCTGAAAAGTATAAAACACTGATGAAAGAAACTGAAGATGACACAAGGAAGTGGAAAGACACTCCATGCTCATGGATTGGAAGGACAAATATTGTTAAAATGTCTCTACTACCCCAAACAGTCTGCACATTTAATACAATCCCTACCAAAATACCACCAACATTTTTCCACAACTCTAGAACAAAAAATTCTAAAATTGTATGGAACCCCGAATAGCTAAAGCAAACTTGAAAAGGCAAAGCAAAGCTGGAAGCAGTAGTTCCAGACTTCAGCTTCTATTACAAGGCTATAGTGATCCAAACAGTACTGGCATAAAGACAGACACATCTATCAACAGAACAGAATAGAAAACCCAGAAATGAAACTATAACTATATGGTCAACTAATGTGTAACAAAGTAGTAAAGAATATCCAAGGAGGGGGAGCCTGGGTGGCTCAGTGGGTTAAAGCCTCTGCCTTCCGCTCAGGTCATCATCCCAGGGTCCTAGGATTGAGCCCCTCATCGGGCTCTCTGCTCTGCAGGGAGCCTGCTTCCCTTCCTCTCTCTCTGCCTGCCTCTCTGCCTACTTGTGATCTCTGTCTGTCAAATAAGTAAATAAAATCTTTAAAAAAAAAAAAAAAAGAATATCCAAGGAGGAGAAGACAGTCTCTTCAACAAATGGTGTTGGAAAAACCAGACAATGAGATGCAAAAGAATGGAAGTGGAGCACTTTTTTTTTCTTTTTTTTTTTAATGTCAAGCACCAAAATAAATTCCAAATGGACTAAAGACCTAAATGACCTAAATGTTAGTTAGACCTGAAAACATAAAAATCCTAGAGGAGAACACAGGCAGGAATCTCTTTGACTTGGCCAGAGCAACTTCTTTCTAGATATTTCTCTGGAGGCCAGGGAAACAAAACCAAGGATAAACTATTGGGAATTCGTCAAAATTAAAAGCTTCTACACAGTACCAGGGATGTCTAATCTAAATTTAGAAAACTAAAAAGCTTTCTAAGGAATGGGACAACATATTTGCAAATGACATTATCTGATAAAGGGTTATCTAAAATATATAAAGAATTTACAAAACTCAATAGCCAAGAAACAAATAACCCCCCAAAACAAAAACAAAAACAAAAACAAAAAACCCAGCTAAACCAATTAAAAAGTGGGCAGAAGATATGAATAGATATTTTCCCAAAGGAAACATACAGATGGCCAACAGAGACATGAAAAGGTGCTCAATATCACTGATCATCAGGAAAATACAAATCAAAACTATAATGAGACATCACCTCACACCTGTCAGAATGACTAAAATCAACAACAGAAGAAACAACAGATGTTGGCATATTGGTATATTTAGGATCTTCTTGTCTTATTCTTTTTTAACTTTTCAAAAGGTTCTAAATCTTATTTTTGCCTACAATACTTTTAATACATTGAAGAATAAAATGAAGTTTTACCCTAAACTAACCATCCTATTCAAATCATTTTATTAAACATTCAGAAGGTCATCATACAGTTATGCTTTTGACCTATAAATAGTTAAGGAATGGGAATTTTAAGAATCAAAAGCTCCAAGTGTGGTATCACAGAAACAGGGAATTAATTTTTAAAAATGATAACATAAAATTAAAGTTTTCTAATATGAACATTTAGACAAATACAAGGGCATTTTCTTAAGAAGAGCCATAAGGTGATGTCTGTATCATTGGAATTTCTTTCAAAATGCACTCAATTAAAAAAAAAAAAAACAGTGAGTTTATGCACTTTGGAATAGTGAGTTATGCAATAGTGAGTTCATTCCATCTGACTTTAGTGGTACTCTGTATAATGACAAGTTCATATATATATTCATATGGCTTCGATTCTTGTTTTGAGTAACTTATATAAGATCAGGAACTCTTCTGAATATAGAAAGATGGCCCTACTTGTTAAAAATAAATTAAGATTCGTCTTAAGGTGCTTACCTAGTAAATGTGAGATGCTGTGATAAGATAACACTATTTCAAGTCTCTATTACTTTTTATTTTATTTTTTTAAAAGATTTTATTTATTTATTTGACAGAGATCACAAGTAGGCAAAGAGGCAGGCAGAGAGAGAGGAAAGGAAGCAGGCTCCCTGCTGGGCAGAGAGCCCAATGTGGGGCTTGATCCCAGGATCCTGGGATCATGACCTGAGCCGAAGGCAGAGGCTTTAACCCACTGAGCCACCCAGGCGCCCCTCTATTACTTTTTAAAATTGAGAGATGGCTTGTTGGGATCCATGACTCAGTTTAACAGAAACATAAAACAAATTAAAATGCACTTAGAAAGAGATATAATATTGTCAAATCAGTACCAGGGATGTCTAATCTAAATTCTATATTTAGGATGCCAGATTGAGCAAATAAAATTAGGGGTGCTGTTTTGCTGATATTCAAATGGAACTGGACATCTTGTATCTTATCTGCCAACTCCATGACAATTTTTCACATCGCAATTATTTTAGATGTTCAGAGGAACATCAGATGTTCATATGGAAAAGATGTTCAGATGGAAAAGAGACATTTCAGAAACTAGGATTTAATAAACAGAGGTTGCCAGTGGATGCCCTCTTTTCAACTGAATTGTGTAGTTTCGGCCGTATCAAATACCTCAAACAATAACTGGGTTAATGGAAAACTATCCATTATCTTACACTTCTTTCTGATATTCTGAAAGCCACTGAGAGGTGATAGAGCAATCTGGTTCTGCCAGTGGATATATATTGTTACAGAGGTATTGTAAATATGCCAATGTAGTTATTAAATGTATTTTAAGAATAACTATATCTACCCCCATCTAAGATAAGTATGCCTTTTTAAAGGAAGATTAGCTGATATAATTAGTTTAACATAAATTTATTAAGGGGAAACAGGCTCTAACTATATACTTTTGTTTAGACTAGAATAATTACCATGTATATTTTTGAAAGAATAAAGCTGCTCAGCTTTTTAAAAATAGTAACCATTTTCATATTTTTTCCTCTTAAATATGTTTTTGTCCTCTTGGGGAATATAAGAAATATAAACAGTACCTTTTAATCACAGAGATATTATAAAATTTATATATTGCACAGAAGAATAGTGTAACTTACCTTTGCAACTGCTTTTGTAGTGAAACCCCTCACAGACTAATATGGATACTTCTTCTCACTCGTATCCCATGCCTTTTTGGCTTTGTGAATATGCTGCCGCCAAATCTCATTGAAATTTGCACAAGGATCTCACTGAATCATTCATTTCTCTACCCCATGTGTCTGATTATTTCCAGCCTTTCTAATGTTTTCAAGATTCAAACTTTTGACTAGTACTCATATTGAACCTTCTTTCACGTCTTTATTGTATTGAAATTTAAGAGAATGAACACGGTCAAGAAAGAAATTAATATCTCATTAAATGTCTGATGAAAATAACATTTTGTAACATAGATCAGTACATTAATACATAAAATGATTGTTACTTTGGAGAAAAGGTCTTGCTAATGTCATCTGAAATCATAATGATGACGTTCTAAAATTTACCTTCATTATCCTGTACTGTGAAGTTTGGATTGACAGCAGCTAAACTGAAGAAAAATTTCTGTCCACCTAAAGGGTCATCTTTGTCTACTGCGCTTATAGTCTGTATTAGCTGCAGAAAAAAGAAAAATGCATATTTATCAAACATCTATGGTTATAATCTGCTTTATAATATGTAATTCTCTAACATTTACTTTTGTCTAAATTTAAAGGCAGTTGATTTTCTTCCTTGTGTATGAATCTTTATTTTATTCCGTCTTTTTAATTATTACTTTGACTTTAACAAAATCTCTCTCTCTCTCCCTTCCTCTCTGCCTTTTTCTGTCTCTATTTCTCTCTCCCTCCTTCTCAATTTCTCCCAAATATTATCCATTTCTTCAAAATAATAAATGGCAATATTATATTCTTTGCAGTCTTATTAACTTAGATATAGTATTTGACGTGAGTAGGTTGTTACATATGTATTTAAACAATGATCTGGGAAAGCTTATCTAACGGAGGAAAAATTTAGAAAACTATTGTGATTATGGCTTTTTTCCTTATCAAAAGTGAAAACTATTCAAAGAATGTATAGATTTCATAGATAATATCATGCAAAACTTTTTAAAGGAACGACTTAAAGAATATGATCTACTTTAATAGTAACGGTTTACTTTATTTGCATTGTCAATAAAATTACATTTTTTAATTCAATATATGTATAACATGCAAAATGGTTATTTTATAATCATCTCTGATTTATTTTAGGATAAGATACAATATAAGGAGCTATCTGGTAACAAAGCATAAAATGTAACACCTTTTACTATAATTAGATCACTTTGAACATGTATGATTAATATTATATAAATATATATGTACCATATGGCTATGTACTTTTTTGCATATATATAGAATTTGTCCTTAACTTATATGTATAACAACATTTTATATAATTTTTTGCGTATCTTAATTTTGCAAGAGAGCATCAGAAGTTGCTAAATTTGTATACCATATATAAATGGTGAAATTTATGCTTAACTGAAAAGAATGTGCTTTACCGCATTGACTTATTTAACAGGGTGTCAATACTTGATGAAAATATTTGTTGCTGATGTTTTGTTGCTATAAAAAAAGATTTCAAGTTTAAAATATTATAAAATTGTAAAAAATAAGGAATTATTTTAACCTTTCTATATTCAATTAATTTTCTTTTAAATTACCTTATAAAAATAAAAATGTGATAAATTTTAGCTGTTCCCTATTTAATTATAACTCTAGCCACTGATTTCAAAATAATACAAGAAATATAATTAGATCAAACAAAGATAAATGTTTATCATCTAGGAATAAGCAGCCCAAAAAATCATTTAAACTTTGAGTAATTTTAAAATAGATTTTAAAATGTAACATAACTTATTTAATGAAGTTTTAATGGTAATTTAAGATTAAGTAGAAAGCAAGGATTTATTACTAATAGCTTACCTATCCAATATAAGACCAAAAAGGGTACATATGTGAAGGAATTAAAGAGAAAAATGTATAAAAAGTATTAGCTAATACCCTTTAAGAGGTTTCAATTCAGCTACAAAATCATTCTTGATTGACTTGTTGTCAAGCAGTCTAAAAGATTTTATTTTTAGTGATTTAAGAATAAGCTGAAGGGAAAAAATGACATAAATGAGACAACATCAAGTAAGGTAGTAGACTTAATAAAATTTCTATGTTTATATATATATCATTAAGATTAATATTTTAGCACATAATATAGATACAAAATGATAGAAATTTAAAAGTAGAGCTAACGGTCTTTTAAAACAAAAGAAAGTCTCATAATAAATATGCATTTTCAACTGTGATTAAAAATTACAATTTCAGTTTATATTTATAAACCAAAATAATACATTTCAGAGAACAAAATGGCCCTATCTGTACATATATCTGTAAGAAGTTATAATGGTTTACACAAAAATTCTTAATTAATATGTTATTTGAATAAAAGATGATAGCATTGTTGGTTTCAAAATTAGTAATTCACTGATATATTTTCTTAAATGTTATTAAGGAACTAGCCCCTGAGTTGTTCAAGGATCAAATATATTTTATTTTGGCGTATATTTGTTTATTTGTTTCAGTATATGTACCATATATACATGGGTATAACATATACATAGGCATATGTACATATATGTGTATGTATATACATGTAAGTATGTGCTAAAATAGAATTCAGAAGTTGGCAACATGAAGGAGATAAAACCACCTGGTCTTTCTATAGAGACACTTGCAATTTATTCCTCCTGGAGTCAAGTTCATTTTAACTCATTTCTAATATAATGGGTTGCCACAATTATGGGGGAAAAATAAAAACACTGGTGATGTCCAGTATTGATTTTGAGCATATGAAGAATAGACACAGATAAATCATTTATATTTAATCTCCTTAGCTCTTATATAAATGGTTTGCATTTTTACTATGCTATTCTAAAATCATCTCAAATAAACTTGCGGGTTTTTTCAGTGATCATACCATAATGGAATGTGGGATGATGACGGGATTTTAAGATATTTAAGTAAGAAAACTGGTCACTAAGTTTTAATGTTTTAGCTTTTTCAGTGGAAAGAGTACCAGTTAGGGAAGTAACTAAACATTGTTCCATGGAAATATGTAATAGGATATTTGGGGTCTGACGAAGGCGTAGATCTTAGATACAATCTGTGGGTAAGTGTAAGCCCCAGTCCTCCCGTGGGAGACTGCAAAACCTGGGAGACTGAAATGCTTTCTTCCCATAAAGATTAAAAATTATTGAAATATATTGACTGAAGCAGTAAAATTTATTGACTGAAGGAGTGAGACATGCGTGAGGGAAAATGAAAGAAAAATGAAACAGCTAGTCTTCTCGCCTCTCCTTTCCCAAGATATTCTTTCTGAGGTGGAAAAGACAGGGAGTTAGGTAGCCTAGTTCAGGCGACAGAGGGGACTGTGAATTTACATCAGTTTTAAGCTGCATCTTTTCCAAAGGAGAAAGTCTCCTACCCTTAGAGCAGAGAATAGACAGAAAAGGAAGAGGGAATGGCAACTATATCTGTCTTCTCATTTTGTCCACACACCAAATAGAGGGAATCATTTCCTATGCTGTCCTTCAAAGTGCCACTTTAATAACCAGTACTTAATTCAGAGGAGAATTGGGTGGGTTGAAATACTCTATAAATAACTAAAGTACACCCGCGAGTTCTAACAAGGTACAACATCCCTAGAAGGAGGGGAGACAGAGTTAACGTAAATTTCAAGGAAGGTTCGGTGAAGGACTTTTCCAAATAACCCACTTGGTTTTGCCTGCTAGGCTGTTGCAACCTAGAATTCCATCACTGAGTACATAATGGTTTAGTTCAAGCAACCATTTATCAGCCCGGAGACCAAAATGACATTTAACAAACTGATCTTATTAAAAATAACTACTATGGGAAGCTATAGCACATTCAGCCTATTAGACAAAAATTACTAATCACGTTATTCTTATCAAGTTTGTCCAAATAGGCTACTTTTTAAATTAAAATTGTCTTTGATTTTATTATTTTCCTGCAATATGCCAACTGGTTTCTAAAATCCCCAAATTATAAAGTTATTGAACCAGATTTAGTTTTTATTTTTTAAAGACGCATAAGGGAAAAAAAAAAAAAAACCAACAAAACACAATCCCTTATTTTGTATATTTTGAATACATTTGGAAATCAGTATTTTAAATGACTCAAATGCTCTGAAAAGATATCTCTTGAAAATCAAATGGAATAACCATAGAGGGAGCAATGCATGTGGCAGTTGTAAAGTGGGTAATTTATCTCTTAGAGAAAAGGCTTCAACTTATATCATGCTGAGCCTGCCAAGCAGAGGACTATTTGGAATGGTATTTTCAGGGCAAACACTGTTTCATTACGAAGTAGGTCGGAAGTAGCTTTGTCATTTAAATATTCCAAATTAAACATTTCCATAACATTTTCAAATTAAAAAAAATGAATCCAATTGCAGCAATTTCACCATTTCAAACAATAGACAGGCTATTGAATTCCTGTTAGAATCTTCAGAAGGAAGAATTGTGTTATCCCACAACGTAATTTGCATAAAAATGTAATAATGACATTGATGGTTATAGGGAGCTTCAAATGATGTCAAAACACAATGTAGTTTTGTGATGGCTCCTATTTCTTTAATAAAACACATTTGATTCCCAATGATTATTTATAACATGCAGCTTCTTTCTGTGAAGATAGCACTCAAACCAATTAAGAGCATTTCTTTTCAGCCATATACACTGGAGCTTTTCAAACAACAAAATGAGTCCACTGAGGAGAAGACTTAAAGAGTTATGAACAAAGCTGATGTAGGAAGAATGTTCTAAAGGAGGAAAACTAAGTCATTAAGCACTCTAAGTGTTGCTATAATGATGAAGTACAAGTATAAATTTAAGGAGTGAATCCTGCAGCCCTGCTTTGAAATCATTTGCATACATTGGAATATTGATGCAATGTTTTGCTGATCCCCTGTATCTGTCTGTGTTCTCCTAACTTCCATCTCCCATCTCTTCTAGTGCTTATCAATATTTACCTAGAGAAATAGCAGAGGGTTTTTTTTCCTGGTTTTGTTTGTGAAAATTTACAAAGTGAAAGTTATTTCTTCCTACATCTTGATTTTTGTGGCAACAATGATATCTTAAACTTTCATGTGAACTTCACGAACCAAATGTGAAACAAGCTATATGGTCATTTGGAACCCTAAAAATATCATCCTTTTTTTTTTTTTTTTAAATATTACTGGGACTTATATGAGCATTTTTATCTCTGTTTACTCATTCTTCTTAAGATTGGGAATGGAAAACACTTAATAAACCATTAAAATCTTCCAAAGCTTTTAGTCTTATGGGTGCTCACCTGCCCTGGTCTCGCATTTTCACATACAAAAGTGTCATAGAACACAGCAAATTGTGGGGCGTTGTCGTTAACGTCCAAAATTCTCACAAAAACAGCCACGCGAGTCATCTCTTTGGGATTGTCTAGAAAAGGGAAAAGAAAAATTTGTTTAGGAAGACACATTTGTGTACCAGGTTTAATTTATATAAGCATCTTGTGGATATTAAGTGCTCACATAAAAATAAGCATTGTGTTCATTCTGCCAACATAATGAGCAAATACAATAAAGAAAATTACTACAGAGCCTAACTAAGGAGTTGTAAATTCAGTTATTATTGGCCTCAAGAGAACTAGTATTATTTTGGAAAATCTTTTAAAAAGCACAATCCAGTGTAACTGAGTTCATTTTGTATTTGTGGCTTTACTGTCCAAATATGTAAAATAAGATCAAGTATTTATTAAATATTTGTCTTGCAGTATTATATTAAGCTTTACTTAATAAAGTTTTTGGATGAAGAAATAATTTTAAATAAACTATTAACTCGCCCATGCTCATTAGCTCCTAAGTGGGAGTTGTTATATTACAACTTAACCTCCTGACTACTTTAATCACAAAATCACTACTTTAATCACGAAAATGTGGTCCAATGGCTACTCCAAACTCCCCTTTTGGAAATTTTAATATATAATAATTTTACAAGTTCAGTGGAAATTCACAGGAAATATAAGCACTTGAATGTTTCATTAATTGTAACCTGTACCACTTCAATAATCCAGGCTCAATTTTGTATAACAAAATTAGCTCAATAGTGACATATAGTATAATAATCATGATTTTTTTGCTACAAATATTGAAATCAAAAGCATCCAAGTGTTCACATAAAAATATGCATTAAAAATTGTCTTGATTTGTAAATGGAATTTTAAAATATGAATGTTTATTTAGCTTAGCCTTGGGTAACACCCTCTTTTAGTCAGAATTGTATTATCTCCACAAATGGGCTTTTCTAGGCACTAGTATTGGTATCTGAGAGTGTCCTGACATCGTAAATTCAGGATATATTTATCAGCCTTTGTGATATCCGAAGCTTAGTCTTTGGGTGCAGTTCAGCTTCTGTGTGGACTTCAGCAAAGTCAAACTGAAGATCAATGGAAAAGGAGAAAGGAGGTAAGTAGTTAAAAGCAAAGCAAAACAAAGCAAATAACAGATGAGTGAGGGATAATAGCAATCTTATTAAACAGCCTCTACTAACATGGGTTAGGGATCGTACTATTTACCTTTGTGAAATGTATCTGACTTGCTAATTTTATCTATAGAGTTTTCATATACAAGGGTAAGAAAGTATTGTCTTGTAGAGATAGGGAGGTTATTACCATGCAAAATAATTTATTTCTCCTCCTTTCTCTCCATGTAATTACACTGTTAGTAAAATAATGAAGTCAGCACTTTTAAAAATAATGTGGAAGAACTGATTACTCAGCAGGGACATTTACAAGGTTGAGTCGTTATGAAGGAAGGCAGACAGAATTCTAAATCCCTGTGAAGTGTCTTTATCTGCCTTCTTTTCAAGAGAAACTTGGAAAGGCATCCTCTAACACTCCTTTCCACTCTTATCACCCTCGTGCATTCCATTCTTAGGTTCTGATTTCCCATTTGCTAATGTAGTGCCTATTGTTTACTTCTTAGCACATCAAGTGGTTGGAGAGTCCAGACCCTGGTGCAGAACAGAGCTGCTTGAAATCCCAGATTCACCACTCACTCATTGTGTGCCTTCAGTCAATTTACTCCATCTCTCAAATGCCTCAATTTACCCAGTTAGAAACTAAAATAGAACTTCTAATCTATGGCGTTATTTGAAAAATTAAGTCAATTAATGTATGAAAACTATCAAATGCTACTATCAAAGTATTAGTTCCTTGGTAAACACTCAATATATGTCAACTATTAAAATCATCTTTATTATCACTGTGATACCTCTCTGATCTTCTTACATTGCTTGAGAGTTTATGCTATGTCAGTTCACACAAAGCACTCACACAATAAAAAAATATGTTAACTAGTTTCCCTACAGTTCATACATTTGGGGAGCAGTGGAGAAAGGAGAAAAAAAAAAGAAAAAATTCTATTCTATTCTTTTTCTAACCCACCTAGTCCTAAACCATTTGCAAATAGCCAGAGTTCACCTACAAAGTGTTCGTCACAAATGAATTCACAACCTACTAGAGCTATGGCGTTGCTATGGGTATGAGTGGGAAGGTATGATTCTTCCATATTTTCTAGCATGTGGTTTTTCACCTAATAGAGTTAGTGAACACAAACAAAATATTTTCTTTCAATTGTCTTGACATCAATGTAACACTTGCTAGAAGTCAAGAGAGGCAGAACAATGTCAGATCTGAAAACTGCACTGTCAGGCCTTTCCCTGACACAAAATGATGATTCTACCACTTTACAGATCACTCAAAAAGTCTCTTCAAATCAAAAGCTAAATTCACAAGGATAAATGTGTTTGTAAAACATTAGGCTTAGAATCACCTGTTCAAACAACAGTGCTCACCCTAATCTTTTTACTGGTAGATATTGCAGTAAAAACATAAAGCATTCCACGAAGCATCATAGGGAACGGTAGTTGGAATATTTACCACCCGATTCTCTTTCAGAGTCATGCAGGCACACTCTACTCTAGCAAGAATGTATCAGCAATAAAGGACCTTAGAACGTGAAAGCATTCCGATCTATTCACGGTCTTTGCCCTATCCAAGAAAACAAAAGCTTCAATCATTATCTAGAAATCCCAGCCTTTGGAAAGATGAATCTTTTCTACCTGCTTAGGGCAAGAATTTCCACTCTCAAAGAACTAGGCATAGATAATGGAGTCTTTGGTCATAAACTTTGCTCTACTGTTCTCAGAATGTATTGCAATGATTATAGTCAAGTTTTCAGATGTGGCGAGAGGAACTCATTACGGATTTCTACGATCCAATTGTGACCTTAATTTTAGATTCTTCATTCTCCAAATGGCATTTAAAAAATATTTTTGAAGAAGGAAAAGAGAAGTTATTTCATGGTGTAATGCACAAAATATTCACCTGAGGTGGCACTTGCCATAGGATGTGATACATGCTGTGGAAGGTAGAATTAAACTGTTAGAGGCAGGGCTTGAAAATGCACTGGTAAGAAGTACATTTAAACGTCATTCTGGCCTGCTTAGGGCTTGGTGTAATGCACACTTACCACAAACCCAGTGCTTAAAATCTAGTAAAAACAACTTCCTATATGCTGTTTCCCTCTCTCCCTTATCCATTTAATGCCCAGAACAGCATAATGGGCTTCTGACTGCTTATGGCTTGGCAGGTAGGCATTTCCAGCAGTTACTCCATAAATTGATTTCACTTAAGGGCAAAAAATAGGTTTAGTTCTTAAAAAGAAGAACGTAATTGGCTTAGCTTTTTACAGAATTGTAATTACTTCAACTAGCTTTAGAAGTTAAATTTCTCAAAGTATCTGAAATGGAAAATGCAATTCCTAACTCATTAGGGCTTGAATTAGGATCTTGAATCAAGCAGAGAGCACAGACAACCATGATGCTGGAATGATCAGATTGGACTCTGTTGGACACATCTAACTGCGGTGACATGGAGATAGATAATAGGAAAAAAAAGAAAGAAAGAAAGAAAGAAAGAAAGAAAGAAAGAAAGAAAGAAAAGAAAGAAAAAAGCCTTCCTTAAAAGAAAAACAAAAAAAATTCTTCAGTCATCTTTAAAAGACACAGCCATTTATATCTCACTATGGAAAAACTGGGTCATTTGGATGGTGGAATTAATCAGTATTTCAGAGCCAGATTTAAGGAGAAAGCTAAATCTACCATTTTATCCTGAAGCTTTGAATTCATTGTTAATGATCAGTCCAGCCTCGTTCCATTTTTCTGAGACTTTTGGCGATTTGGCCCCATTGCTCTGCCTTCCAAATCCTGGAACGGTGGCTTCAAATAACTTGACTTTGATACGTGTTTGTGAATTCGGCTTCATATTTCAGGTCTGGAATTGATAGGCTTAGTTTTTCACCATCATTCAGTCCCTAATTAATGCTTCTTTTTAAAATAAAGAGTTGCTTCATTCCAGTAAATCACAGCCCAAGAAGTAGAGACCTGAACAAGTTTGCCTGAGTGGACAAAATGGCTGCACAGGCCTGTGTCACTGTACAGGGCTTCACTCTAAGAAGGGCCCCATGCTTAAGGCTCTGCTATTCCCATGTCAAATGTCTTAGTCATTTTTGAGCAAGACATCTGACGTTTTGTTTTATAATGCCCCCCACAAATTATGTGTCAAGTCCTGTGAATGGGCAAGAACCTTTGCAATTAGAGACAGATATGATTTTGAATCCTGGATCTGACTGTTATTGCTTGGAAAAAATTCTGTAAATTAGGTGTAGAATTAAGTATTGGATCTGGAAACAGAAGAATTAGTTTTAAATCTCAGTTTTACTACTTCTGGCATGGTGACTTTGGGCAAGGTACCAAGACCTCTGGATCCTTAGTTCCTTCTCTGTGAAAAAAGGTCAGTAAGAATATTACTAGAAGGAAATTAATATAAAATTCCTAGAATAATATCTGGCATAGAGTGCTTAATGTTAGCTATTATTACCAATACCTTGGCTTCCTCATCTGTAAAGAGGAAGAAATAATACTTACCTACATGTTTGTTGTTAAATGGTACACACCCGCATTTAGCATACATTTTAATTTATAGTGTCTATATAATAAATCTAATTCATATATTTTCCCCCAAAAGAGGATATCTTTAGGTCAAATTCTAGATAATTTTTATTAGTCAATATTAAATGTTGATTTGGTCTACCTATAACTATCCCTCAGTATATAGGGCAACTATTGAAAAGAATTATAGATGTTGAGAAGTCTTTTTTTTTTTTTTTTGCTTAAAATCAATGCTTTATTCTTTTTTTAATCAAGATTTTACTTAAATTCAAGTTAGTTAATATATAGTGTAGTATTAGTTTGAAGCCTTTTAAAACCTTAGATTAAAATTACAAGTCATGTGTATAATGAGAAGAAATTATTATTATTATTATTTTTAAAGATTTTATTTATTTATTTGACAGACAGAGATCACAAGTAGGCACAGAGGCAGGCAGAGAGAGAGAGGAGAAAGCAGGCTCCCTGTCGAGCAGAGAGCCCAATGCGGGGCTCGATCCCAAGGAGCCTGGGATCATGACCCGAGCAGAAGGCAGAGGCTTTAACCCACTGAGCCACCCAGGTGCGCTGAGAAGAAATTATTTTTAATATGAAATAAAACCTAATATATGTTAAATATTATATACATAAAGTTCGTCTTACTGATTTCAGCAGCTATAACAGTAAGATTGTGCCACTGAGATAGTTCACGGTCAAGTGGCTTTGATGTATAAAGGGATCCATTTCCAGAATGTATGTTAAAGATCCTGTCAAGGTCCGTATGGCGATCCAAGGAAAATCTGGATATAGAAAGAGAAGAAAAATACATAGCAATATTACCAGTTTGTAGGAGAAAATGGTGTAATGTAAACACACACATAGTAACGTAATAATTTCATAGGAATATATACAATACTGATGTAGAATGAAGACTATTTCATTTCATCGATTTATCACACACACATACACACACACACACACACACACACACACACACACAAACAGGATACACCCCCTCCTGCTCCTCCAACTCCCCCACCCCCCCCCCACCCAAAATCTCTACCTTCCTCCTCTTCCCAAGGCATGAGCTGGCACTTTGTTCAGCATTTAAAATGATGGCCTTCTGAATATTTGCTTTATTAAATCACTATCTATTGCCATATTCAACTGACTGGGAACTATTTTTTTTTTCTCACAAAGTAGTCGGCATTACAGATGGTTACATTACCAACTGACCTTACCTAGAAGTTGAAAATTCTGTTAAGGATTTACTATAAGGATCAAATGCAAAAAAGCATTCCCAGAAGCAAAGTCTTTTTTATAGTTATAAAATTGGAGCCAACATTACTTTCAACAGACTAGTATGTTATCAATTTATGATGCTGTTTAGTAACTCCATGGTATGATACTCATGTAGCTTCAGTTTATTAACCATATAAATCATTTAAAAATGTATACATTTTAACTAAAGATGTTTTAAAAACAGAAAAGTTGGGGTTAGAGTTTTCATACATTTGTGCCAAGTAAAGTCTTAGTAAAAAAAATAAAGTTTTAGCATATGTATAAGAAACCAGCTATGCTGCAAATCGATTAAAGTCATTGTGTTGGATATCATTCTAAAGTCAGGTTTATCAATCAGGTTGCTAAAGTTGGGATAAAATCCCATTATTTGGGAGATTGTCAGGCAAGGTTTAAAATAGTTATATCCCTCATCAGTTCCTGCCACTTCATAGTCCTGGTGGCTTGCAAATGCTTTATAGTCCTTGGGTTAGCAAGCATAATCCTCAAGTAATATTTAATGTTCCATAAAAAAAAAAAAAGTAACGCAAAACAAAGATGACAAGTCTGGGAGTAGCATTCAGTAATGGCATATCTTTTCCCAAGTCCCAACTGTCACTTACATTAGGAAAACTTCATGAAATACTATTTTTAAATTGTGGTTTTGAATAATAATACAAAATAATGTTTAAGTGCCATAAAACTCTTTTCTCTTTTAATGTTCCAAACCTGTTCTAAAAATCAGTTGAAACGTATAATCCTTATGCTGGGTTTTGAATAAATTGCATTAGAAGAACAACTTAAGCTATCAATACGGCTAATGTGATTCTACTTTGAAGGACTGCTTAATTTAGATTTTTATTTTAAATCAGTTCTAACTGGAACAGACCAGTAATTAACGAATCTCCTTAATAAGCCCTAGCCCTCTCTATTAATACAATATAAACTCAGTTTTGCATTTAAACTGCATGTCTTACCCTTCACACATAAGCTTCCAAAACACTGAATCTCTGGAATAATTCACAAATTCTCTTTCAAGTTGACAAAATTATTTTACTGCTGAAAGACTCAACATAAATCTACCTTCTCCTTTGAGTGTTTCCTGATTACCTAGAGTAGAAGCTTATTTGTCTCCTTCCCCCAAAGTATCTTTTTTTTTTTTTTTTAATAGACAGAGAGGCAGGCAGAGAGAGGGAGAGGAGGAAGCAGGCTCCCCGCTGAGCAGAGAGCCCGATGTGGGGCTCGATCCCAGGACCCTGAGACCATGACCTGAGCCGAAGGCAGAGGCTTAACCCACTGAGCCACCCAGGCGCCCCCCCCCCAAAGTATCTTTTACCACTCATCTCTAAATGTAGTATTGAAGTGTACCACCATTTACCACATTGTATTAGGAATTCATTTCAATATCAAAATGTGAGTTACATTTCAAACAGGAAATCAAGCATGAAAAAAACAAGTAACATTCTTGAAATATATTAAGCACTCAATGAATATTATTTCTCATACTGGGTCATCTTCCCTAACAGACTGAGAACTTCTTGAGAAATATGTTAATATCTGATATGGTGATCCACAAATATTTGTTAAATGAAAGAAAGAACAACTGAATTCTTTGGTATTTTGGCAAATAAGTTTTTTCATTTCTATAGAAACTTGATGTGAAGTTGCAATATATAAATCAATATAAAGCATTATTGTCCTTGTCAAATCATCTTATATGTGTTTTGTCTTATTTCTTATAATTTAGTTTAAAAACTAATGACACAATTTAGAGGATTATGCAAAATTATATTCAAGATAAAGAGAGACCCCGGTTCTTTTTCAAACATGATGTAATTATATTTTCCAATTCTCTGTTGGCAAATTATGTGTGCTAATTTTTATTTTCCTTTTTAGATCATTTCCAGAACAAGCACTTAAGTAATTCCTTTGATTATCACATTAACATCCATAATATGACCTAAACAATTTATAATATTATTATTATTATATTATCTATCCCATAAATACATTGCATTGGTAAAGCTATTTTATCCCTGATTTTATATCAGTTGATTTTATCATTATTAACACCTAAAAATACTCAATTGCATTTTCTACATCAAGTCAGCATAAATTCAATTATATGACAACCTTTTTGGCATAGATTTTGTCATTAGTAAGCATTAATTCTGTTTCCATATAGTATAGGTAAATGAATTCTTCCCTTAGATTTGCATTCTGATTAAACATTTTATTTTTGTTTCAAAAATCCACAGACATATTTTGACATATAATAACCACCAGTCTATAAGAGGATGTAAAATCTATTTCATTGTGTGAAGAGTATCTTTGTATTGCCACTTTATAACACCACTGGATTTAAATTGAACTCTTTTTAAAAAAAATATTATATTTCACCAAAAAAAGGCCACTTTAAAACCAGGAACACAGCACACAGCCTGCTAAAGTTTCTTAGGAGCTATGCCAGGAAAATGTTTGGTAAGTATTGAATAAGTAAAATTAAACATGTATATTGGTTCTATAAAGATCCAAAGGGAAAAAAAAAATCCAAGCAATACAGCAATTTCAGTGAAGACAAATGGACTGGGGAAGAGGCAATTATGGGGAAGTCATGCTGGCAGCTGGGAGCTGTATATCATTACCATATATGTAACCTGTGATGCTCTACGTGGATGGATGGACCTAGAGAGTATAATGTTAGACAAAGTAAGTCAGAGAAAGAAAAATACCATATGATTTCACTCATATGTGGAATTTAAGAGACAAAACAAATGGGCAAAGAAAAGGAGAGAGACAGAGACAGAGACAGAGAGAAACCAAAAAACAAAACAAAACAAAACAAAAACAAAAACAAAGACAAAAACCAAAAAAAACAGACACTAAACTACAGAGAACAAACAGATGGTTACCAGAGGGGAGCTGGTTGGGGATTGGGTGAAACAGGTGATGAGACTGAGAATACACTTGTCTTGATGAGCACTGACTAACATACAGAACTGTTGAATCACTATATTGTACATCTGAAACATATAACACTGTATGTTAACCACACTGAAATTAAAAAAAAAAACACATAAAAGTGAACAAAAAGAAAATATTTAGATAAAATTATATAAGTCAAATAGTAATTTTAATATATAGAAGATATAACTTCACTTGAAGACGTGGCAGAAACTATAGCACTTTTAACTTTAACTTGAGTTAGAGTCGCGAGGCATACAAAATTAGAGATTCTCTACATCCTGCTGCTGTATTCTTAGAAATCAGAGAAGAGTGTGCTTGGAAATTGTTAAACATCATTTAAACTCTTACTTGACTGGTCCATGTGGAACAAGGAGGAGACAAAATTAACCTGTTGAGAATAGGGAAGGGAATGAAATCCAAAACACGTGATGCACTAACAGTTTAAAATGAACAGTCATTTTGATGGTCAATATTATATATAGATCTCTGTATTTCTTTAAAATGATAGAACAGATGTCAATAAAAACTTTTGAGTCTTTCTCATTTGTATATTTATTCATATCTCATACATTTTTAAGCTGCCATAAGAAAGCAAATCAAAAACAAAACAAAAGAAAAAAACAAAACACACACACACACACACAACTGAAATTACTGTGATCTTTCTGGCATGCTCTGATTTTTCAAAAATATTTTTTGATACAGCCAAAACAGAAACAAGTGAACAAAACCTTCCCTTCTTTGATGGTAGGAGTATAGATGAGTTTCTAAAATGTAATTCAACTGCATTATGACAGTGCTGTAATCATATTCTTTTAACTGTTACGACTCTCAACTTATCATTTAAGTTTCATTCATTTAACTGAAAGCACAAATAAAGTGAATTGGTTACATTGTAAATGCACAGCTGACACAGAGCCTTTTATCTGTACCTGGGTCAGAACAACAAATATCTTCCTTAAAGAGACAGACAGATGATGCAAGCTAGGTTTTAGGCTAAAATGCATGATTTAAACTGGACCAAATGACAAAGCTATGCATGCCTTGCCCCAAAACATTCAGAGACAATTTACTTCAAACACCTGTGCTCCTCAAATTCATGTACAGCTAAGGAGAGACTCGTGTATTTCACTGCATAAATGCTATAAATAGAATTTCATGATCTCTAGGTTTATTTTAATTCCCATCCTTTCATCTGAAACACAGACATAGTTACCTAATGGGGCTAGAAGCAGAATCTGGGTCCCTTGCCATTACAGTTCCGATGATCGTCCCTACTTCAATATCTTCATGAACTTCAAACAGGTAGGACGATCGGCTAAAAATAGGAGGTTCATCCACATCTTCTACAGAGATTTTTACAATTGTTGTATCTTTAAATGGTCCCAGGTAATAAAAACGTGGATCCACATGGGTATTTTCTGCTTCGACCTTCAGAGTGTAAAGTCTTCGGCTCTCATAGTCAAGAGGCTGTAAATAAGTAAATCATCAAATTAGAGTGAGGGAAATTGGATTATATGTTCCTTTCAAGTCACAGTGTGATTTTTAAAGCCTGGTTGAGTTCTGTCAGGTTCTTCATTAAGTGTAAATAATTAAAAGCAATAAAAAATAGTAATATAATCTTTACATATTGGATAAGGTTCAATTTTTACTTTTTATGGATTCAATGTGTAATACTTCAGAACATAGGAAAATTAGATTTTAAATCTTGGACCATTGGAAAGGATATTAAAACCTATCTTATAATGTGGTGACTAGTTATAAAAAAATGGGCTGAGACACCGTGCTGTGTTTACGTGTGCATGTGTGTGGGCTGAGGTGTTGGCTACTGCTTAATGTTTGTAAGCAAAAAATTCAGTTATCTTTTTATGTTTATGTTGTGATATTTCCATTCAGTTTAATGACATGGTACTATATAAACTATAAAATTTTGAAAACTAATATAAAACTCTCAACAGTTGGGGCGCCTGGGTGGCTCAGTGGGTTAAAGCCTCTGCCTTCGGCTCAAGTCATGATCCCAGGGTCCTGGAATCGAGCCCCGCATTGGGCTCTCTGCTCAGCAGGGAGCCTGCTTCCTTCTCTCTCTCTCTGCCAGTCTCTCTATCTACTTGAGATCTCTGTCAAATAAATAAATAAAATCTTAAAAAAAAAAAACCTCTCAACAGTTGTATGAAACACCGAAGATAAGGAAAACCTTGAGTAAAGAGAACAGAGAAAAACTTAGTAATTAGGTTACATTATGAAACAAAATTCTGGAACTTAGATATTGATGTAGTTTAACCGTCACAAATATAAAATCAAGCGCCTCCCCTCTCACGCCTCTAAAAGGTACGTTCTGTTAACAGAAAAAAAGACATTGTTGATTCACAGTCCTTCAACCTTCTTCTTTTTTTTTTTTAATCTGATAAACTGTAGATTCTATTTGCATTACTATTACTTTCCAGGCATGAAAAACAACAAAGAAGCCGCATTGTCCTTTGTTGGTCACTGTCCATTTAAAACCCTTTGGTTGTGTATCTTGGCTTTTGCAACAGAATCTCCGGATAGCTTCGCCATTATTCAGTGTTCTCAGTGGTTACTTCGTGCAATAGAATTTGTGGCACATTTCTTTGGGATCTTTCCCTGGGCCTTATTTTTTCCTTATAAGGGTGGTATTGACTCTACCATAAAAAAAAAAAAAAACTAGTTACCTTTAAACTGTATCACTGAGCATATGTTAGCAGAAAAGTTTAATTTATGTAGCAGAAGGGAAAATGTGAACAATTAAATTATCTTCCAGAATACGCTGTCTCTTTTTATTAGCAACTTTAATTATTGCTTCATACATCTGCATAGATGGCATGCTACTTTTTTATGCCTCCAACTGTGATGATATATTGCCGTTATTAGCTATTAACTGCTTTTTGCTTTAGAATATAATGTTGTTATGAGGGGGGTTTATTCAGGTGACTCAGAAATAGAGTCACGCAGCTATTAATTTGCCTTTTAAACTTTGTAAGAACTCAGGTTTCGCGCTTCAACCAACAAAAGTATTTGGTCAAAATGTCCAAGATCTTTGGCTTTATGTTTCTCATACTTGTGCACGACATACATCACATTGGGACTGATCCTGACGTCTCCTAATGGATAATGTGCGAGTGGAGAGCGCATAATGAAATCTTTATTTGCTAAATGGGCAGGTGCTTATTTATACTGAGGTTGGGCACCTTTTTCACAGTTATGATGCCTTCCTGTGTGTCCTTCTCAGTTATGATATCAAACATATCAGTCCCATCGCCATCAATGATTCGGTACTCTACTTCTGCATTTTTCCCCGTGTCAGCGTCCGTTGCTTTTACGCTCCCAATAGCTGTGCCAACTGGGGAAGATTCGAGAACTCGGAGGTGGATGGTGTCTGCAAAATATATAGAAAAGGGAGAGGGGGAGAGAGATTGAGATATGTCAATAGAAGTATTCAAGAGTAAACTGTGTATGAGAAAACATTCCAAATCTAGAGCTCTACACCAATGTTGACTGATTAATGAGTTGAATACACACAGTATGGATAACATTAAATTAAGGTTTAGGAATGGAAAAAGTGGAATTTGGGAGTCTTGGGTCTGTGCATATTACAAATACTGAGTACCAATCTCTAAGAGTGTTAAGAATTCTGGTTTGAAAATGAGCACATTGTCTTTTTTTTTTTTTCTTTTGCATTTGCACAAATAACTAGAGATCAACTTTGAGTGTGGGGAGGTACTTATGTTTGCTTATACCATCACAGCAAATCCCAGGATATACAGTGAATATTTAAATTCATTATTTCCTCTTTGTTGTATTTAGTTATTAACTACCCTTAGGTTATTTGAGCTGAAGGACAGAACATTACAAAATTCCATGAATTGAGCTGTAATGGAGAGGAAGCCTATTTTCCAGTTGTGACAGAAGAAACAAAGGATAGTCTGTAGGAGAAATACAAGGAGGCCCTTCACGGTGTCACTGTGAAAACACTCAATTCTGACAAACTCCTCTCTGTTCCACAGCAAAACGAGAATTTAGCTAAGCCTCTAGTGCACCTAGATGTGCTTCCAGTGGGAACAACCTCTACCGCTAATGAGATTTATGTTCTAACACCTGATCATAAACTACATATTACTGACAGATTAATCGACCTGAAGCACACTTCTGATTATAGCACGTTCATGCTCATAAACCCTAAGTAATTCTCCTTAATATACACAATAAAGCCCAGACCTCTTAGGTAGTCATGCTCTCACCTGAGTATATCTTTCCCAGTGTATTTTCCTTTAGTCACTTCTCTGAAAGATTTGCACCACACTGGATTTTTCAAAGTGTGCTAGTCTAAACTTAATTTCCTAAATCTCTATGTTTTTCACATGCTACTGCACTTACGTAAAATTCTTCCCCCACTATCCTCTCGTAATCACAATACAATTTATCAGATCTTAGGAAATGGCACTGTTAGAGTGTTCAGTAAGTGTTTGGGGGTTGTGCTCCTCAAAATTCATATACTGATGCCAGAACCCCCATTCAGTACCACAGAATGTGACTGCATTAGGAGACAGGGTCTTTAAAAAGGTAATTAAGATTAGATAGGGTCATTAGGGTGGGCTCTAATCTAATATGGCTGGTGTCCTTACAAGAGTAGGAGATCCAGACACAGGCACAGAGCAGAGACCGTGCGAAGACACAGGGAAAAGATGGCCATCTAGAAGCCAAGCAGAGGCCTCAGAAGAAACTGACCCTGTTGCTCTTGAACCTCAATCTTGGACTTTTAGCTTCCAGATCTGTGGGAAAACAAACTTCTGTTGTTCAAGCCACCCAATCTGGAGCACCTTGTTATGGCGGCCCTAACAACCTCACACAGGCACCTCTCTCTATCTGCTCAGTTTGGGAAGCTGTTTCCTAGGAGACATCAGTAAGATGTGGCTTCCGCTACACCCCAATTAGTCTCAGCCTGTTCTTTTTTTGTTTGTTTTAACATTTTCCTCTCCATCTATTTTTGGTAACACGTTACTAAAAGCAACTCCCGACTCATTCCTTGGCTAGTGTCTTATTGGCTCTCTACCTTTGCTGTTTCCTCTAGAAGTCCCTGTCCCTGAATATTCAGATGGCTCTCACTCCCTTCCTGCAGACGACCACTCAACTGTGACCTCCTCAGAAACTTTCATCAATAACCTTACTGAAAAAAGCAACCATATTGAAAAAATCCTATTTTCTTCCTAATACTTGCAACAGCTAGTTGTTATATTATTTACTTATTTATTTATATGTACCATGAAGATGTAATGCAAAACGGGGACTTGGTATTTTTCTGCCATTATTTTCTCTTTCTATTTCTTTGAATGTAGTAGCCACTATATACTGATTTGTGTATTGGATAAATGAGAAGCTTTCTAAATTACCTACCCACAGCTTTACTTGACTAAATCCAATCAAATCTCAGTTACTCTCATCACACACTGCGGCCGTAGTATCATTTTGAAAACAATGCTCTTATGGATATTTATTCAGAGCTTCAAACTTCTTTGATTGGTCCCATTATACTTAAAATAAAACATACATAAGCTTGTCCTCCATAAATTGGCTTCTCTGTCTTGTCATCCTTTCTTTTAATTAATATTCTCTACAACGCTGGTCTTTTTTAGGTTTAGGTTTCTCAAAACACTATGCTTTTCTTATTTTGACTTTTCTTATTTTGACTTTAAGATTTTCAACTCTTTGCCTGGCTTCCTCTGACTCTTTCTTTTGAAAATATCTATTTCACTATGCCTCTATCGCAGAACATCATCAACTCAACCTATTTACTGCAAGAACTTTCTTTAAAAAAATTAAATTTTATAGAAGCAGCACTTCGATAAATTAATTTATTATATTGTAGCAGAAATAACTTCTCTAAAATACAAAAATAATATCACTGCTCTACTGAAAGCACTTAGTATTGATGTTGGGATAATTTTTAAAAATTTCATTATTTAGTTCATAATGTCTATAAAAGTTGCTTTTATTTTTTTTTAAAGATTTTATTTATTTGCTTGACAGACAGAGATCACAAGTAGGCAGAGAGGAAGGTAGAGAGAGAGAGGGGAGGAAACAGGCTCCCGGCTGAGCAGAGAGCCCGATGCAGGGCTCAATTCCAGGACCCTGGGATCATGACTTGAGCTGAAGGTAGAAGCTTTAACCCACTGAGCCACCCAGGCGCCCCTAAAAGTTGCTTTCTGATAAAATCTTCAGTATCTTGATTATCTATTCTCAGATCTAGAGTGTATGTGAAATATTGCCATAATTTCTTTCAATTAGTGATTAGTTAACTAGACCAAGAATATGGAATATATGGAATATTTAACAAAATAAATAAAAATAATATGAATGATTTGATTGATATACATATGAAATCTCCACAAACCACCTAGAGAATATAGATTTTTTTTTAAGTGGACATTAAGCACTGAATCTCATTTGATCAAGAATTAAATTATTAGATATGTTTGAATAAATTTTAACAAATCAGTATCAACTCTCTGACCATGCTACAATTAAAGCAGAGGTTAATATGAAGAAGAGCACTCCTAAATACTTATAGTCCTGAAAAGTTAAAAGAAAACTAAAAGTAATTCTTATGTAACTAATGGTTCAAATAAGAAACAAATACAGAGACCAAAAAATAATTGAAAAATGAATGAAAAAACAAATACAGAAACAAGAGTATAAAAATGTCAAAAGTTAGTTTTTTAAAGAACTCTCAAAATAAATATATATGACAAAAATGGTTCATAGAAAGGGGAGATTGGGCAAAAAAAATATTAAGAATTATTTTAAAGAAATGCAACTACAGAAAATGTAGTGATTTAAAAGATTAGAGAGTATTATGAACACTTATATGTCAATAAAATTAACTAGTTAGCTAAACTGGTAAATTCCTAAAGATAATTAAAAATATACCAATGCTACCAAAGAGGAAATAGAGTATGATTTTAAATACAACTTAATACATGATTAAATATCATTTAATATATGATATGTGATTTAAAATTATCTGCCCTTCTAAATACTAGCAGCTCAAATATTTTTTTAAAGATTTTATTTATTTATTTTTGAGAGAGAGAGAGAGAGAGAGAGAGAGCATGCACACATGAGCAGGGAGGTGGGGCAAAGGGAGAAGCAGTCTTTGCCCATTGAGCAGAGAGCCTGATGCAGGACTAGATCCCAGTACCCTGGGATTATGACCTGAGCCAAAAGCAGAGGATTAACCCCCTGAACCACCCAAACGCCTTTATCAGCTCAAATATTTTTAAAGAACATTCATGGAGCCGAAAATTCCTTATTATCAGTTCTTATGTAAATTTTCCTATAGAAAAGAAAAATGAGGACTCTTTCCAAGCTCATTTTGAGATCAATATAACCCTGATACCAACACCAGACAAGAGTCCATGGTTATATAGTGTGGACTAAGATTCAAGATCCACCACACCTAATTGTATAACATTTAGCAAGTTCATTTTTTAAATTTTTGACCCACCAACATTTGCCAACATTTTGAGTTAGTTTTCACCAACATATTTGAGTTTAGTTTTTGGGAAATGTTATTTTAATCACTTTACTATTAACTAATTCCAATTTGGAGTTCACCGGCTTTTCCATTAAAGCCTTTTCAGAGGAGTGTGTGGGTGGCTCAGTTGATTGAGCATCTGACTCTTGAGTTAGAGTCAAGTCATGATCTCAGAGTTATGAAGTCAAGCCCTGCATTTGGCTCTGCACTCAGCATGGAGTCTGCTTGAGATTTGTTCTTCCCCTCTCCATCTGCCTCTCCCAAATCCTCTCAAAATAAATAGATAGATAGATAGATAGATAGATAGATAGATAGATAGATAAAGCCTTTCAGAGATCCCACTTTGCATTTGGTGGTCATGTTTTCTTACTCCCTCAAATCTGTGAGAACTTTTCAGTCTTTCCTTGTCTTCAATATCTTCTATATCTTGACGCTTTTGAGGAATACTGGTCAATTACTCTGTAAAATGTCTTTCAATATGGATCTGTCTTATATTTTCTCGTGATTAGATTGAGTTTTTGCATTTTTGTCAACAGTGCACAGAAATGATCTCAATTCTCAGTATATCATATATCAGGGAGAAATGATGTCAGTCTGTTGGTTAAGAAGGTATTTCTGTCAGTTTCCACCATTATTAATAAGCAATTTTTAAAATAATTAATGTATATCTTAGGAGATATACTGTAAGATTATGCAAATGTTCTGTTTCTCCTCAAAAATCTGCCCATCAATTTTAGTACTGATCAGTGATCTCCTCTACAGTAATTAATACTGTGATTTTCTAACGGTGATTTTCTATTTTGTTGATTCTTTTCACATTTACTACTTGGAATTCTCCTGAAAGG